CGCCGCACCGGGCGGTAACGCTCGTCCCCGGCTCTGGGTGCCCCAGGCGGGGGGATCGCTCCCGAGTGCCCTCCCGCTGGCAGAACCCTCCAGAGCACGTCAACCCCCCGGGAAGGGGATGGCACCAGTGAGGTGTCGGAATACGGGGTCATCACAGAGGGGTTTGGGTGGGAAGGGACCGTAAAGCCCCCCCAGTCCCACCCCCTGCCCTGGGCAGGGACACCTCCCACCACACCAGGTTGCTCCAAGCCCCCTCCAACCTGCCCTTGAACCCCTCCAGGGATGGGGCAGCCACAGCTTCTCTGGGCAACCTGGGCCAGGCTCTCACCACCCTCACACCAAACAAGTTCTTCCCCAGATCTAACCTAAATCTCTCCTTTTTCAGCTTAAAACCCTTCCCCCTCCTCCTAGGGCTCCCCTCCCTGATCCAGAGTCCCTCCCCATCTCTCCTGGAGCCCCTTGAGGGACTGGAAGGGGCTCCAAGGTCTCCCCGGAGCCTTCTCTTCTCCAGGCTGAACCCCCAACTCTCCCAGCCTGTCCTCCCAGGTGAATGGATAATAAATGATGAGGTACAATGGGGACTAAACCCCGAGCACACCCTGGCACCAACCCTAGAGCAGTCCCATTTGTGCACAAGACTTGCAAAACTGCGCTAAATTGCCACGTGCCAACTAGAACCAACCCTGTCTAACTCTGCTTAATTACTGTCCTAGGAAGGAACCAGCGCTGCGGGGGAGAAGAGCTCGCCCTCCCCACACACAAGGACCAGAGGAGATGTGTTTTAGCCGACCCAGTGAGGGGAGCAGGTTCTGTTCTCCTTCTCTGCAGAGCTGCTACTCGCAGGTCAGCGCTGTCCCGCTTGAAGCCATGACAAGGAGGGGAAAAAACTTTTAAGTACGAGAGGAAGAATTTCTTTTCCGTTCTTTCTGCGAGGCACAATGAGAATAGTTTTCTCAAGGATGCGAAGCCGTTGTGCGTGGAATTTTCTTTTGTACCCCCATCTAGATGTTTATTAAAGTACGTAGAATAATGATGTAACCCACTAGGATTTCATTTTTTTTTTTAATAAGAAACTTCAGCTTACAAAAAACAAGGTGTAAAAAGAGTAAAGATTTACAAAAAAATCATAAAAACATGATTTATATTTCACACCCGATAAGACAAAGGAACGAATCCAGTCCTGGGTTGAAAGCAGGACCCATCAGCTAATTATTCAAAAGGAAAAACGAAGCTGTGAGAAGCCCTGGGGAAACTCCAACCACCAGAAGGTTTCCCGGGATGAGATAAAGCTGGGACACGCGCCGGGAAGGAAGGGTGTCTGCGTGTGGTGGGGGAAGAAGCCGCCGTTTGGTGTTGCATAGCATTTTAGCACCCTGGACTGAGACTACAGCTTGCTCTTAGGGACTTTAAGAAGTCCAGCTGTGGGTGGTGATGCTGTTTTGGGGGACAGTGAGAGCACTGCTGGAGGCTGAGGGGGGAGCTGGAGCTGTGATTGACTCGGGTCGTTACACAGCAGCTCCTCCAAGATGCTATTTCTAGAGCAGAATTAACTCCCCAGCCCTGAGCACCGCGGCAGTAGGACTGCGACATGGCTTCAGATTCTTTGGACGGTTACACATGGGTTTTGTTTTTTGTTTTTTTTTTAGTTTAAGACATTCTTCTGAAGTCGCGTCACCTCCGCGTTTCGTGACCCACAACTGCCCCCTCGCCTGCCCCGCAGAGAAACACATTCCACTACCTTAAAAATGCTGTTTTCAAAGCGGGTATTTTTTAACATCCCGCAAAGAAAGGGAAGTTCTTTTGAAGTAGGGATAAGCCAAGTTATGCAGAAACACTTTCTGCAGGAAAAAAAAAAAAGAGGGGGGGGGGATTAATTAGAACATTTAAGTCATTTTATGGTTAATCTTCGTTTTGATTTAGAACACGTTAATCTCCTCCCGAGGCCAGGGTTCAGGCAGGGGGCAGCTGGGGCAGTTAAGCACATAAGGCTGCCGTAGGTGACTTCCTGGGTGGTGTCTTAACAAACCTTGACTAAAATAAAAGCTGCTGAGCCCACAATTGGGGGGGGGGGGGGG